AGAAGACCCACTACATGGGAGAACATATTTGCCAATGATACTACCGATAAGGGTTTAATTTCCAACATTTACAGGGATCTCATGAAACTTAACAAAAGGAAGATAAACAATCCAATAAAAAAATGGGCAACGGACCTAGATAGACACTTTTCGAAAGAGGACATACAGAAGGCCGAAAGACATATGAAAACCTGCTCAAAGTCACTAATTATACGAGAGATGCAAATCAAAACGACAATGCGTTATCATCTCACACCTGTCAGAATGGCTATCATCAACAAATCAACAAACAACAAGTGTTGGAGAGGATGTGGAGAAAAAGGAACCCTTCTGCACTGCTGGTGGGAATGCAGACTGGTGCAGCCACTGTGGAGAACAGTATGGAGCTACCTCAGAAGACTAAAAATGGAACTCCCATTTGACCCAGTGATCCCACTACTAGGAATATATCCCAAGAAACCAGAAACGCCAATCAGAAAGGATATATGCACCCCTATGTTCATAGCAGCACAATTCACCATAGCTAAGATTTGGAAACAGCCTAAGTGCCCATCAGCAGATGAGTGGATTAGAAAACTGTGGTACATATACACAATGGAATATTATGCTGCGGTAAAAAAGAAGGAACTCTTGCCTTTTGCAACAGCATGGATGGAACTGGAGAGCATTATGCTAAGTGAAATAAGCCAGTCAGAGAAAGATAAATACCACATGATCTCACTCATTTGTGGACTATAGAGAACAACATAGACTGATGAAAAGGGACAGACCCAAAGACTGAGAAACAGCTATCAGGCTATCAATCCCCAGAAGGAAAGTAGGGGAGGGCGGGGGTAAGGGGAAGAGATCAACCGAAGGACTTGTATACATGTATATAAGCCAAACCAATGGACATGGACAACAGGGGGATGGGAGCATGAGTTTGTGTGTGGGGGGGAGGTTGGGGGTTAATGGGGGGGATGAGGACACATTTGTAATACCTTAACTAATAATAAAAAAATAATAATAATAATTAAAAAAAAATGGAGGATCCAGGGTAAGATGGAGGGCATAGCCCTTACCCTGGGGCAAGATGGAGGGTGTAGTCCTCACCCTTTTAGTCATGTCCTAAGCCGATATCTTCACTGACAAGGTCAACCTTTACCTTCACTGAGCCTGTCTGTCTTTTGGAATCTGTAACATACCCTTGAAATGTCTGGGTAACTTGTAACTTCCCTTTTTCTGGAGCTCCTGGGGCACAATCAAATGTGCTGGGCCCCAGGACAGATACCATAAATTCCTTCATTATCATGTTAATTGTTCCTGCACCCACCTAAGTATGTGCCTATCATTTTACTTTTTATCCCATCCCAGGGGTTTCCCTGCTTTGCTTATCCCTCCTCCTTAATCTATCACCAATGAATTTCATGTAACACACCACATCCCTCCTTTGATTGCAAATGTATAAATACAAATGTAACCCCGCCATTATCCACAGCATTATCTCAATTGGTTGAGGTTCTGCTTCCTGGCATATGTCAACAGTTTGGCTCAAATAAACTCACAAAAATTCTTTTAAAAAAATTAGGATTAATAAATGAATTCGGCAACGTACCAGGATACAAAATTAATGCCAAGAAATGAATGGCCTTTTTATACAGCAACAATGAACTTACAGAAAGAGAGATTAAAAAACAATCCCATTTACCATTGCAGAAAAAAATTAAGAGACCTAGGAAAAAACTTAACTAAGGAGGTAAAAGACTTATATGTGGAAAACTAAAGGATGTTAAAAAAAATAGATAGAGGAATACATAAATAGATGGAAAACATACCTTGTTCATGGATTGTTAGAATCAACATCATTAAAATGTCCATACTAACCAAAGCAATCTATAAATTCAATGTACTCCCCATTAAAATACCAACAACATATTTCACAGACCTAGAATGAACTCTCCAAAAATTCATCTGGCATTAAAAAGACCCAGAATAGCTGCAGTGATCCTGAGAAAGAAGAACAAAGTAGGAGGGATCTCAATACCAGATATCAAGTTGTATTACAAAGCCACTATTCTCAAAACTGCCTGGAACTGGCACAAGAACAGACATATAGATCAATGGAATAGAATAGAGAACCCAGAAATCAGCCAGAACCAATATGTTCAATTAATATTTGACAAAGGAGGCAAGAACATACAATAGAGTCAAAACTGTCTCTTCAATAAATGGTGTTGGGAAAATTGGACAGATATATGCAAGAAAATGAAACTAGACCACCAACTTACACCATACACAAAAATAAACTCAAAATGGATAAAGGACTTAAATGTAAGACGGGAAACCATAAAAATACTAGAGGAATCCAAAGGCAACAAAATCTCAGACATGCCAAACCAATTTCTTCACCGATACAGCTCCTAAGGCATTGTAAACTAAAGAGAAAATAAAAAAAAAAAATGGGACTAAATCAAAATAAAAAGCTTTTGTGCAGCAAAGGAAACCACAAACAAAACAACAAGAAATCCCACTGGATGGGAGAAGATATTTGCCAATGTTATCACTGATAAGGGTTTAATTACCAACAGTTAGAGGGAACACTTACAACTTAACAAATGGAAGATAAAAAATCCAATCAAAAAATGGGCAAAGGACCTAAATAGACACCTTTCAAAAGCAGACATTCAGAAAGCCAAGAGACATATGAAAACATGCTCAAAGTCACTAATCACCCGAGAGATGCAAATTAAAACAACAATGAGGTATCATCTCACACCTGTCAGAATGGCTATCATCAACAGATCAACAAACAACAAGTGGTGGAGAGGATGTGGAGAAAAAGGAAACCTCCTTCACTGCTGGTGGGAATGCAGACTGGTGCAGCCACTATGGAAGACAGTATGGAGTTTCCTGAAAAAGTTAAAAATGGAACTCCCATTTGACCCAGTGATCCCACTTCTAGGAATATATCCCAAGAAACCAGAAACACCAATCAGAAAGGATATATGCATCCCTATGCTCATAGCAGCACAATTTACCATAGCTAAGATTTGGAAACAACCAAAGTGCCCATCAACAGATGAATGGATTAGAAAACAGTGGTACATCTACACAATGGAATACTATGCTGCTGTAAAAAAGAAGGCATTCTTACCATTTGCCACTGCATGGATGGAACTGGAGAGCATTATGCTAAGTGAAATAAGCCAGTCAGAGAAGGATAAATACCACATGATCTCACTCATTTGTGGAATATAATGAACAACATAAACTGATGAACAAGGACAGATCCAGAGACGGAGAGGCATCAATCGGACCATCGGGCCTCGGAGGGAAGGTAGGGGAGGGTGGGTGTAAGGAGGAGAGATCAACCAAAGGACTTATATGTGAGCATATAGGCCTAACCAATGGACATGGACAACAGGGGAGTGAAGGCATGAGTGGTGGGATATGGGTTAACGTGGGGATAAGGACACATATGTAATAACTTAATTTAAAAAAGCATTCAATCCCAATAAGGCTCTCCCAGGCCATCATGTTACTCATGGCCCAGTAACTGTATTTCTGTAGAAATCTGTGCAGATGATGGGTATAACACACCTAGTGCTCATACTGTCCAATGGCACTGAAACTGCGTGTAGGAAACCACCCTTCCTAACCAGGTGGAGATTTCCCTCTGGTTTATCCATGATCCCAAAGGAACTTGTCAGAACAATTTTCCACTTCACACTTCCCTCTCACACCCAAGACACACAATGTGCCACTGCCACCCCCAGCTTCTTTACAATTATCCCCCGCAGAGGGAATCCGTTTCCCAAATACCCTGGCTCAGGCCATGGACATCATTTTTTTATTTTTTTTTATTTATTGATTAAGGTATTACATATGTGTCCTTATCCCTCCATTGCCCTCCTCCACCCCCCACTCATGCCCTCACCCCCCTGGTGTCTGTGTCCATTGGTTAGTCTTATATGCATGCATACAAGTCCTTTGGTTGATCTCTTCCTCTTACCTTCACCCTCCCCTACCTTCCCTCTGAGGTTTGATGGTCTTAATGATGCTTCTCTGTCTTTGGATCTGTTTTTGCTCATCAGTTTATGTTGTTCATTATATTCCATATATGAGTGAGATCATGTGATATTTATCTTTCTCTGACTAGGTTATTTCGCTTAGCATGATGCTCTCCAGTTCCATCCATACTGTTGCAACTACACTGTGGTAAAAATGAAGGCCATTCACAATTGAGTGCTGTTCCCTGGAGGCCCACCGCCTCACCTGTTCTGTTACTTGTTTGTAGGATTTAGGGTACACCTAACTCCTTCCTTATATGACTTCAGCTCCTACACTATCATCCTGTGGGTGGGTGTGCCCTGCTTATGTTAGTGTGCCCACTACTAACACAGGATCTTCCAGAGGACATGGGCTCAGTGAATGTCTGGGGATTAAATGAACCACTGAGCAGGGGTCGTTTTTATTCAGATGAAATCCCTCCACTTTCTTGCCACAACCAAGGATCCTTAGATAAGTTGTTTCATGGAAAGACAGATGAGAAGATATAAGGAGCAAAAATTAACAACCTTTTGCTTTTATTTTTCTATTTCTTAACTCCATGGATTGTACTGCTGAGTTCTTACACATTTCCAAGGAAATCCTTTTATAATGCCATGTTATCTATTTTGGGATCACAAACTAGAATGGGAAGTGTCCCAGTTTTCGTTACACAGTAGAAAATCTCTTATTCTTGAGCTGGACGTGTAGAAATATATATGTGATCAATGTCATTTACAAAGTTACATGCTAAAAGTTTCTGAAACCTATGAAAAGGGACATTCAAAAATTTCCTTAAAAATTCGCAAAATAATAAATCATTGATTTCTCAATCATAATAGGAGCCCAAACCTTTCCCTGGGCCTCACTACTGGTTTCTTCTCAAACACAGAGTTGAAAATTGGACACACTTTATGCCCAGCAAAAGAAGTTAATGCACATGGGCCTGAAAAGTGCCTGGATGCAACTCTGGTTCAGGCATAGTAGTTCTCATTGCACTCAGGCCCTTCAGGCAGGGATGGGACGAAATGGGAATCCCTGTGATTTACCATGAGCACAAACTTGAGGGCTTTCAACATGGTGGTCTCAGCTTGGGCCCTGGGTCCCCACAGGAACTCATAGCATGCAGGATAGTTATTGGGCACCTGGCAGTACACCAGGTACTGTTCCTGCATCCAAACTTTAGTGATGAGCTCCCTGGGCTCCCCATACAGCCAATGCACCTTCCTATCCTGCACCCCTAAAACATTCAGTGCTTCCCAGACTTTTTCCTCAGGGGCACAATCACCCTCTGAGGTGATCACACACAAAATTGTGACCAGGAGGCCTGTGTTGGGATATTTGTGTCCATTGCTCACCATCCCATCATAGGTGAGCCCAAAAGCGATGATCAGGAAATATGTGTGGGCACTGGGGTCCATTTCCATCACAACAATACCAAAAACCAACTGGATTCACTCAGTGGCTGCACTGAAGATCTCAGGAAAGTGGTTCTGGTGATCTTTGATGACACTACTCAGTATTTCTGCTTTTGTGGTTGGCTCCTTTGCGCGATACTTCAGGAGCAGGAACTCCACCATTTCCATGATCTTCGAATGCAGTGCTTTGTGCAGCATGGAATCAGCATCATCTTCAGAGCCTCCCTCAGTTTTTGGACCCTCTTCATCTCGGATGCTGGAGCTCTCATCTTCAGAGTGGCTCCATGGAAAGGCTTCCATGGCATGGAAGGATGGGAAGGCACGCTGAGAACTCTGGGGAGGACTTGGTGTCTCAGCAGCAGACACCTCCTCTAGGCTATCTATAAGCAGGACTGAGGGGGAGGAAGACAGAGAGGAGCAGAGAGACAGGGCATCTTCCTCCTCCTCCTCCTCCTCCTCCTCCACCTCCTCCTCCTCCTCCTCCTCCTCCTGCATAACCCAGAACAGCTCCTCCGCCACCAGGTTGGGCATCTCAATTGGGTACTGACGGTCTTCCTCAAGCTTCCAGGGCTCATTCATATGATGACTATGCATGATGACTCATGCTGGAACAGTGACCAAATGTGGGCAGAAGATGGGCGATGAGGACCCACGGGCCTGGGGGAGAGGGGGAGTATGAGAGGCATGAGTTGAGAAACGCACCCTAGGCGGCTCTGACAAAGGTGACTTCCAGGTCTCTCCTTTAGGGATGTACATGGGCCTCACAGGGCTCACTCCTGATCTGCCTGCCCACTAAGAACCTGAAGTAGGAAGTGACATGACTGTTTGGGGTATAGAAGGCACAGCACAGGGTTCTGTAGCTGACGGTGGGGCGTGGAGGTGTCTGGTAATGCGGGGACCCTCTGACATTGGTGGGGATGCCTGGGGACATATTCATGGTTGGAACCTCACCTTAATTCCTAGCACTTTCTGGCCTCCTGCTGCTCTGTGACCTGAAAATATGTAGCGTAGACCAAGGCCTTCACCTCCTCCAATCCAGGGGCTCTGCTAGAGGGAACAAAGGGGTACCTCAGTATGCACATGGCAAGCACAGTCCTGGGACTCCAATGCTGACAGGAGGGGCAGCAGGACTCTGTGAGGTCCCCTCTGTTGTGGGTGGCATGTTCCTCCTTGCAAATGTAGGATCCTCACCTTTCCCCTGCCAGGGCCTGGCCCCTAACTGCCTTCTGCTGGCCGAGGTCAAACTCTCAGAACAAGACTACACACACCTGACACTTCAGTGAAGAAACTGAAGGGGCCCCACATGTGGTCCCTCTCCCAGAGGATCAAAAAGGGGTGACTGAAGATTTGGGTCCATCTATCCTGGGTTAAGGCTCTGATCATTTCTCACCATGACACATGGCAGGGTTTCAGACCACTCTCTCTGCTGACTGAGCCCAATCTACTTAGACTTAGGCTTCACCTCCCTGAGATACTGGAGTAGGAAGTGAGCTGAGCTAATCCAGGCACTATTCTGAGTTTCCCCATTGCTGACAGAGGAGGCAGAGTAAGTCTGGGTTCCCATGTGCTCTGCTTCCCCTCAGTGCTCACCTTGATTCCTGGAAAGATCTGGGACTCATCTCTCTGTTGACAAAATGTGGATCCGGGGGATGATACAACATGTAGTCTCACACCAAGGTCTTCACCTTCCTGAGAGCTCTGAGACAAAAGTGAACAGGAGCTCCATCTGTCCCCACCCCTGTCCAGGTTCCCACACAACTGACACCAGGGCCTGGCCCATCTGCTCCCGGTAGAGTTCCCTTAGTCTGGCTTCAGGACATTTGCCTTTCTCCCTGGCCTGGCCTGGATCTGAATCCAGCTGACCCGATTTCACCCTGAATAACTGTCCTCAGTGAGAAACGCTCACGAGGAGCAGGCATGTGGCAAGGGAGAGCATGTCACACCCAGGTACCCCTGCCTGGGGAATCTGTATGCTGAGAACAGGGCACTCCCTGATGCTGAGGGCTCTCTTCTTTTCTCGGGGAGCACATAGCTGCAGTTTCCCACAAGAAAGCATTCACAACTTTATGACCCTTCCACAACCTCAGCTCATCTTTGCATGAACTGAAGCCATTCCCTCTGACCAAGGCCCTGTCCTTCCAGAGTGCCCTCAGACAAACGTGAGGAGGAACCACCTCTGCCGACCCATGCCAGGCCTTTCCCAGGGCTGACAGCAGCACAGGCTGGGTTCAGGGCACCCACTGTCTGGAGTGTGGTATCCTCTTTCCTCCCTGTGCTACCGAGGCTTACTCGGAGAGTGCCTGGGACCTTTCCCTTCTGCTGAACTGAGAGTGAATACTGCAGGCCATTTCCACGATTTCTTGTGACCTCCAAAGGGGACGTCAAGACACACCACATTGACTATCGTGCCGAGTGTGCCAGTTGTGCCAGCAGAGACTAAGCCAGCCTGTCCCTGTGTTTACTGGGGTGGGAAGTACCATCATCCTGCCTCAAGACCCACACTTTAATTACCAGCAGTGCCTGGCACACCTCCCATGTTGCCCTGAATCCAGAACCTTCAGGACAATGCCCTCACCTCCCTTTGCCACTGCTAAGGTAGAAGTCTGGAAGCAACCCAAATCCACAGGCCTACCATGAGGCTTGCAGGTGCTGCTGGCAGGAGCAGGCACACTGTGGACACTTATGGCCCTGGCCAAGCCTCAGGCATACATACCTCAAGGTGTGCTAGGGGGCTTCCTGAGTCCTAACTCGGGTCCTCACCTGGTATCCTGGCAGAGCCCTGCACCCCTTCTTTGCCTACCTGGAGCCTGACCCCTCAGAGCTCAGGGGGTGGAGTCCGCTTGTCTTCCTGCAGGATCCTCACCGTGACTCCTGGCGGGAGCTGGAACCTCCTGTCAACCTGAGAGGCCCAAGTCAGGAAGAGAGCATGTGGTCATGGGCCAGGGACCTCCAAGGGTTCACAGTAGGGGTAATGTGGGGCATCTCTGTTGTGGGGTCCCGGGTCCCTCAGTCTTCCCTTTGCATGTTCACCTTGACTCCGGGCAAGACCGGGGTCCTCCCCTCTGCCGCCTTTGTGGTTCCCCCTGAACTGTCAGGGCTGACATCAGGTCTGGGCTTCTGCGGTTCCTCTCTGCATGGTCATCCACCATAGGGCCTACCAAGACTTGCATCAGGGAAGACTTCTGTGGACTCCCCTCGGGTTAGCATTCCTGGATTCCCTCAGTCCTCCCTGGGAGTCCTCACCTTGACTCTTTCCTCTGCCCACCTGAGACCCTGCTCTTACACCGAACCCCAGAGCCTGTCAGACCCGGATGCAAAAGTCAGGAAAAGCACCTTGACCCTGGGCAGTGCTTCTGCATCCCTTCTGCATCCCTTCTAAGGGAGACCCTACACAATTTATAAAGTTTCCAGTCTCCCTAAGACCTGAATGCTGAAGTCAGGAGACACCCTATGTGGTCACCAGTCCTGTGGCCTTCCAAGGCTGAGAGCAAGGTGGGGTTCTTGTGGCCTCTACATTGGGAGTCCTGGGTTCCCTTAGTCCTGAAACAGGGTCCCCACCACGACCCTGTCAGGTCCTGGATCCTTCCTCTGCCTACCTGGGGCTGGTTTGTGGTATGAAACCCCACAGGCTCTGAGACCCTGATTTGAGGGCATTAAATGACACTTGAGTCTGGGAAGTACTTCTGCCCTCCCCTCTGTGGACCTGATTCACTACATGTTTTGTTTTTTTGTTTTGTTTTGTTTTTTTTTACTTTTAATCCTATCTAATAATAGACAAAGATTGAAATTAACTGTACCTCTGCTGTGCTTCCCATTGGCTAAAAAGCAAGATATGCAAATTAACTGCCAACAAAGATGGCGGCTGGCAGCCACACAGCTAAAGTGAGCAGGAGGCTTGCTTGCTCCAGTGATGGAAGAAGCCAAGCTTCCTCCCTGCTGCAGCCAGGTTCAGAGCTCCACTCTAAGCAACAAAGTTGCAATTATAGAAGCTAAACAAACCACAGATACCTGCTTTCAGCAGGCCATGGCCTCGGAGCTGGAGCGGCAACAAAGTTTCAATTATAGAAGGTAAATAAATCCCAGAATAAAAAAGAAAAAAAGAAAAAAAGGAAAGGCTGGGAGCTTCAGTCGCCAGGAGGCTTGGCCAGCCTGAAAACACTCAGCCCCTCATCCAGACTTGCCATGCACCTCAGGGGGACCCCCACCCTGAAGGGGGTGTGATCAGCTGCAAACAGCCATCAGCCCCTCACCCAGGCTGGCCAGGCACCCCAGCGGGACCCCCACCCTGATCCGGGACACCCTTCAGGGCAAACCAGCTGGCCTCCACCCGTGCACCAGGCCTCTATCCTATATAGTAAAAGGGTAATATGCAAATTGACCCAAACAGCAGAAAGACTGGGAATGACTGGTCAATATGACACACACTGACCATTAGGGGGCAGACGCTCAATGCAGGAGCTTCCCTCTGGTGGTCAGTGAGCTTCCACATGGGGGATCTCTGCTCAGCCACAAGCCAGGGTGCCAGCTGCCAGTACAGCGGTGGTGGTGGGAGCCTCTCCTGCCTCCTCAGCAGCACTAAGGATGTCCGACTGCAGCTTAGGTCTGCTCCCCACTGGCAAGTGGACATCCCCTGAGGGCTGCCAGGCTGCCAGAGGGATGTCTGATTGCCAGCTTAGGCCCAATCCCCCTGGGGAGCAGGCCTAAGCCAGCAGGTTGTCATCCCCCGAAGGGTCCCAGACTGCGAGAGGGCATAGGCCAGACTGAGGGCCCCCACCCCGAGTACACAAATTTTTGTGCACAGGTCCTCTAGTTTTTTAATAATTCTTTATTATTGAAAGTACTAGAGGCCCTATGCATGAAATTTATGCAAGAGTAGGCCTTCCTGAAGGGAAACTAAGATGGCGGCATAGGTAAACACGGGGAAATTGCTGCCTCCAACAACAACTTTAAAAATACAACGAAAAGACAAAACGGACATCATCCAGAACTACAGGAAGGCTGGCTGAGTGGAAATTCTACAACTAGTAGGAAAGAAAAGCACACTGAGAGCCAGAGGAGCTGCGGAAGTAAAGTGCAGAGGTATGGAGGCTCGCGCGCTCGGAAAGGGGCTGGCACCTGAGGAACCAGCTGTCTTTTTGAATCAGGAGGGAGTCACAAGCTCCCAACTGCTCTGAACTCCTGTTCCGGGAAGTCTCTGGGGACCCAGGACTCATACAGGGAGAAACTGGACTATCTGGCAGCAGGCAGTACTCTGAACTTGAGGGCGGCTTTCCCCCAGAGGTGGTTGCAGCAATTATCCGGACACTGAGATGCGCGGCCCCTTAGGGCAGGGCTGAGGATCCCCCATAGCTGCTTGCTCCGCCCTTTGATTACCTGAGACCCTGCCCCACCCAGACTGTGGCAGAGGCTTTTGCATATGAATGCTCCAGCCCTTTGCAAACTGAAAATTACCTAACAAATTGCAGCTGGGCCAGACAGACCCAGAACTTCCAAGAGAAGGCCCAAGGCCCCACAGCAGCTTGCATTGCTTCACAGCTGGGCCTCATCAGGGCACCTCCAAACTCCAAAAAAGGAAGGGGAATCTGCAGTTCTCT